CATGTAAACATGAAGGAGGTAAAGTCTCCATCTTTCTTTATGGCTGCATAGTATTCCATGGTGTACATATACCACAGTTTATTGATCCATTCATGGATCGATGGGCACTTGGCCTTCTTCTGTGACCTGAAAATTGTGAATTGGGCTGCAATAAACACTTTGTTGTAATGTGATTTTTGGTCATCTGGGTAAATGTTAAAACATTATTTTCATAGTACACATTATACTTTGCCCATGACAAGAAACCTTCAGAAGCTTCCCATTACTTATAATGTATAATGATGAAGTCTACATTCTTCTGCCAGGTGTTTAGGCCCTCTCATAACCCTCACAATCTAGCTGTACAGTAACTCCCTGCTACCAAATGTACCAAGGTGTCCCAAATAAAGGGCTGCAGTTGACAGATGAATGGCCAACAAACACATGAAAAAAATGCTTATCATCTTTAATAATCAGAGAAATGCAAATCAAAACTACCCTGAGATATCATAACTCCAGTAAGATTAGCCCACATCACAAAGTCCCAAAACTGCAGATGCAGGCATAGATGTGCAGTGAAGGGAACACTTCTACACTGCTGGTGGGACTGCAAACTAATATATCCTTTATGGAAAGAAGTATGAAGAATCCTCAAAGAACAAAAAGTTGACCTTCCATTTGATCCCACAATCCCATTACTAGGTATCTAACCAGAATAACAAAAATCATTTTACCACAGAGACATTTGCATAAGAATGTTTACTGAAGCTCAATTCATAATTGCCAAGTTGTGGAAACAGCCCAAATGCCCATCAACCCATGAATGGATCAACAAATTGTGATATATATATATATATACACACACACACACATATATATATATATCATGGAATATTATTCAGCCATAAAAAATGGAGACTTTACATCTTTTACATTTACCTGGATGGAGCTGAAACACATTCTTCTTAAGTCTAACAAAAATGGAAAAATAAATATCTAATGTACTGAATACTAATATGAAACTAATATATAAACAATTACATACTTATATGAACAATAAAACACACATATAGTCTGATAATGGGGGTAGGAGGAGGAAGGATTGGGGATTGGGGGGGAGGATAATTGGCAGAAGGAGGGAGGGCATTTGGTGGGGTTTCATCTAATGGGCACAATGTGAGAGTGTATAGCATGCCCCTTAGGTGTGGAATTCTTTTTCAAATGGAACTTTACCTTGGAAGTGACCATAATGTAATCTAAAAATTTGTATCCTCATATTAATTTGAAATTTAAAAAAAAAATAAAACCCTCAAGTTGTAAAAAATTAATAATGTAAATGCTGTGAAAATATATTACTCTGTATTGTTCTTGCTTGTATTATTTTTTATTGTTATGGTTTTTTTCCCTGAATATTTTTAATCTGTGATTGGTTGAATCCAGGAATATGGGAACTATGGATATGGAAGTCTATGTTTGTTTGTTTATTGTTGGAGATCATTGAGGGTACAAAGAACCAGGTTAAAATGATTGCATTTGTTAGATAAAGTCTTATAATTGGGTCCTGCCCCCAAAAAGTGTGTCACACACCATGACCCCTACCCCCTTCCCTTCTTCCCTCTCTTTGTTCTTTTCTTCCCCATTCCTTCTCTCTCCTCTCCCCTTCCCCGAGTCCACCACCGTGTACTAGGTCATTAATTGTCCTCATATCAGAATAGAGTACATGGTATTCATGCTTCTCCATTCTTGTTATGCTGTACTAAGAATAATGCATTCTATTTCCATCCAAGTTAATACAAAAGATGTAAAATCTCCATCTTTTTTAATGGCTCAATAGTATTTCATGGTATACATATACCACAGTTTATTAATCCATTCCCAGGTTGGTGGACTGTCATTGCCACTGGTCAGGGTCCAGGACTGGTTGGTCTCTGGCCCTGGCTTATCTAGGTTCCAGACACGGAAGACTATGCTGTGCTACCTTGCTCAGGAACAATTGATCTAGGTGCCTGAGGGCTATTCACTTTAGCAGGAAGGAGAGAGAGAGAGAGTCCTTGAGGGAGCAAAGCAGTCTTCTTAGAAGGATAAATCTTAGCAGCCTTTAGCAGAGCTTAGTATCTTCAGCAGAGAGATGCCATGCTGGCATTCTGCAAGCAGGAGATGAGACAGAGACAGAGTAAGTGGGTCCGTGATAGAATGAGCTCACTCCTGACTGCCTTCTCCTTCAGCCCAATATAAGGCTGATCTCATGCCTCTCAACACCACAGGTGTAAAGACTGCCAATTCAGTACTGCTCTCATCTCATGAGCTCTCTCATGCTTGTTGGGAGAGCTAAATCCCTCTCCATGCCCTTTTTTACCAAGGTGTTCCATTATTGAGCTATACAGGTGTTACCTATAACTCCCACTCCTCCTAGAGTCTACATATAGGCTATATGGGCTGCTACAGTGGACATTTAGGATGTTTCCACATTTTGGCAATTGTCAATTGCAAAGTGCAAATGTCCATATGGTAAAAGGATTTTTTTTTCCTTCTGGGTAGATGCCCCATAATGGGATTGTAGGATCAAATGGGAGGTCTACCTTGAATTCTTTGAGGGTTCTCCATACTTCCTTCCAAAAAGGTTGTATTAGTTATTTTTTAAGAACTTTGGACTATGGCTCAATAAGAAAAAAACTCAGCATTTACAGAAAAGATATAATTCTAAATAATTTGGCTATCAATATTAAGCTAGCAGTAATTCAGAGCCCTGAGATTGTGACAAAGATAAATAGACCTTAGTACCAATTAGGACTTTGCCAGTCCTGTCCTTGGACAGAAGCTAGATTCTCTCTTAGACCTACTTTTCTTACTATTAAAAATAGAGAGTATTGTTTGGTTTTATACAACTACTTTCACAGGAAATAGTAGTCACAACACAAACTAAGATTTTCATGCATTACCACAATAAGAAATATTTTGTTTCCAGAACAATGTAGATTATTAGATAAAAAAAATTCTTATAGAAATGAAAACCTTCCTTGATGTAAATTCTCATTCCCACAGAATTGTCTTTTTGGAGCTAGCCAGATGACCAGTGGAGTGCTCATTGAGAGCTGCTACTCCTGCATCACGCGGTGTTGTCAGCCTTCACTGCTGCTCTTCCAAGAACAAATTTTGTTCTACGTCACTTTTTACAGACCTATTTGCACATGAATTTAAGACATATAAATGGCTTTGCAGAGGGAAGTTGCACCTGGAGGTTATCTACTTTTCTTCAGTGAATCTGCCTATAGATTCTTTTGCCCAAATACATAAAGATAATATAATAAACCATCTATATTGAAGTATTATCAATTTGTAAAAATGCTCAGATTTTATTTTTTCTTTGCAGCTGCCTCTCAGAAAAGAAGCTGTTATTCTTGCTAACAGCTTAAGTATATGTGAGTGTCCCAGAATTGAATTTCTACAGCGAAAGTATAAGGATGAGAAGAAAAACTCTCTGGAACATGAGCTTTTCAGACATGGTAATACAAATACACAGTGTTTTAAACTTTTAAGTCTTCAAATTCATTATTTTCATATTTTTGATACATGATTTTTCAACCCAGATGTTCTTCAAACCATTTTATTTCATATTTATCAATGTAATAATACAAGACTTTCTCACCATTAACTATACTGTCAACAAATACTTAATAGGAATGACTAGTTTGTTACTCAGATATTAGATCCAACTTATGTATACTTTTCACAGTCTGATTTCGTTCATTATGTTGTGTCATAAAAATAAACTAAACTACATACATGTGTATGTTATACACACTTAATTCATAGGAAAGAGAAAAAAGAACTTAACCCATATGTGCAATAATGTATGGCACTCTGGAAAGTAGACTTTGTCTTGAATTATCACAGCGTAAGATAATAAGAAAACTTGGATATCGTGTAAGTTTTATATTACTTATGAAGTATATGGATTGCTTTATAAGATGTCTTATAGGAAGTAAGTTTTTGGTATTTTAATTCATATCTAGTTATCAGCACTTTATTTGCAGCTTTAATTTATATCTAGTTATCAGTACTTTATTTGAAGCTTGAATATAAATCTAACCACATGAATCAATTTGTAGGTCACTTCTGCGAGAAATTCCCTGGGACCCATAGATTGGAGAAGAACAGCTTGTCTATATCCTCTTGCCTCACCCTTCTCCATTGTCCCACACTATCAATATTTATTGAATGCTTATTGTGTGCTAAGCGTTGGTAGGTGATAAGGATACAGTCTGTCTAAACTAGGCAGTTTTTCCTTCATGGCGCTTATAAATATCAATAATCACATAAATAAATGTAAAATTGTAGTTATAGTAAGAGCTATAAACATGAAATATTAATGCACAGTACAGAAGAATATATAATATGGAGAACAGATCACGTCAGGGAATAAGAGACACTTATTCTTTGGTCTTAACCATCCAACCTTCAGAAGCAAACAGTCAGAAATTTGGTTAACTTAATTCTATAAAAGTCACATGTAGGTCCCAGACTATAACTCTGTTAGGATGATTCATGCTGAACTAAACTATACAGGTTTCTTTCGGTTAATAATGATCAGAAAATTAAGCAGACTGTTGACTCTAGAAAGAACTCCTTACTTGAAAAAACATTTGCTTATTCTTTATCATTTTCCAGTCTCATCTTGAGAAATACTTTATGATATTCTGTTTGATCCTTCTGGAATGTTTTCCAAAACAATTAGTTTCTCTCAATATATATTTTATATCCTTATATAGTAAAAACAAACCAAAAATCATTTGAATGTTTTATGCTTTGTGATTAAAAATTATTTTATCGAATTCATTGACTCCTGGGGATCTGTAGGATTTAGTAAATCCCAAGGATCCTTAAGAATCTCAAGGGAAAGGAAATATCCATCCATTCAGTAGACATGCATTCAGCGCTTCCCACCATGGTTTAGGTGCCACTGATACAGAGTTGAAGTTGTATCCAGTTAACAACAATGATAAAATTTTTCTTACTTTTAACTACTTAATAAAAAAACATGCTAAATTATTGTGTTCTTTCCTTCTTCTTTTTCTATAATTCTTTGGTTGATATAATCATAGGACTCCTCTTTTATAACCATTTCATTTCTTCAACAAATGTTTGTTGCAATTCTGTTTTGGATCAAGCAGTGTGCTGTGTGCTATGTACTGTACAGTGACAACAGGACAGCCAGGATCTCTACCTTTATAGGACATACAGTCAAATCTGGGGCCACGAAAGAAGGTTATATTGGAAAATTATCAAAGTGAATTTGTGTTAATACTTATTTCTTTTTTATATATACATATATTTAGGCATCCTCCTCATTACAAAGGTTTTCCTTGGCCAAACCGTTCAAGCTCGTGAACAAGATTCCATCAATCAAGACAACTATCCAATGGTTAATTCAGTATTCGTTCCACGGAAATATTTACTAAGTATGTCTGCCATGAAAAGAAATGTGATTGCATCTTTCTGAGTGCTAAACATTTGTGTTTAATATAGATGCTACAGTTTAACCTCTGCCTAATGAACTTTTTTTAGACTTTTAAATAAAAATCTATTTCTGGCTACTAATTATTTTTTTATTTCCTAGCTCAATAATACTTATGCATGAGTGTGTGTGTGTAGCTTATTTAGAAGATTTTAATTTAATTATATGTGGGTATGTGTATGTACAGCCACACAAATTTTCAAAGGATAAAAGTACTTTTAACAATGAAGGTTTTAGAGAGTAATACATTTATCAGAGACACACGACTACACATTGAATAGAAAAGTGAGAATGTATGAAAGAAAAATGATATGAATAAAAGTAAACCTACTAGTCTATGTAGTGAAAGGATGACTAATATTTAGGGAATTAAGAAGCTTAGGGAGGAGATACAGAGATAAAAGAAAAAACCCTCAAGTAATTGCTGGAACTTACAGAAGTTTTTATTTATTATCTGTGTAAGAATGAAAAAGTATATTATGTTTCATTTTGAAGAATTTTTTTTTGCTAGTTTTGTTTTGCTTGTTTTTGGTTTTTACTCTAGATTCTATCATAGGACAAAGAAACTGTGATTGCAGCGTTCGGCAGTGCAAGTGGTTTGTCTTTGATCATGACCTTGTTTTGCCAGAATACGTCGTTGAATTTGAATATATTACAGTGGTATGAATTGTTATATATTTTTAAAAGTAGAATTCCTCACATGGAAACAGAATATTAATTTGAATTCTAATAATATTATGTCATGTTTATACTGTATGTGTGTAATTGTTATTCTGTGAAGGACTTAATTCTCAAAAAAAATCATTATGGTACCTAAATTTTTTATTATAGAAAAATATTACATGAGTAATACATGGCTGTAGTTTCACTGGAAAAGATTCAAACTAGAATGAGGACTATATATAACAAATATAAAAATCTGCCTTTAACTCCAATGCCTCTTTAACCCCAGTGCCTCTCCCTTTTACTGAGGCATCAACTATTAATAGTTTTGTGGATTTACTTTCAATCTTTTCTCTTTGCATTTACATCATAGAAACAAGTTTTAAGTATTCTGTGATGTTTTGGTTATTTAACAATATATTGTGAACAAATATCCACTGTAGTGCATATAGATGTATACTTCATTCTTTTGGTGGCTGAATATTATTCAGCCTTAATCTGATTTATTTGACTGTTTCTGTGTAGTGTCCAGTATTTTTAAAATAATAAAAGTGAACATCATTGAAAATGAATCTTTATACAAATTTGGAAGTTTCTCTATAAGATAGATTTGTAGAAAACTTGGAGAGTCAAAGGATATGTATATTTTAAATCGTATTAGATTTTACCAATTGTCACTACAAAGATTTATTTTACAAATTTCTAACAGTATATGGTAATGCTTCTTTCTTTGCATCTTTATCAGCACAAGATACTATCAGCCTTTGGGGGACAAAGATATTTTATTCTTCTTCTATATGTTTAAAATTATTTATAGTTTTCTGAATCAAATATTATATATCTTTTGAATATTTTCTGTTAGATTCTGTCTTTTCATTTATATTGGAAAAATCCTTATATGTATTATGGATATTAATCCTTTATTTTATATATATACATGCACACATATATACATACATATGTATATATATGCTGTATATATACACACATATATGTTGTATATATTTTCTGTCACTTGCTTTTAATTTTATTTGTAACAAACTTATTTTAATTTGTAATTTATAAGTTAATTTTAAGAGGTCAATTTCTCTGGATTCTGATTTTTATATCTTATTTCAAAAGTTCATAATAAATATTCTCCTTTACTTTCTTCTGATATTTACATAACCTGTTATAAAAACTTTTACCTTTTTAAATGCATCTAGAATATTGTTTTATAATGTATGAAGTAAAGGGGTAGTCAATCAATTTCTTTTCTTAAAAATGGACAGGTACTTGTTGAAACATTATCTTCTTTGCCCTATTCTTAAATACTATCTTCATTGTTAAAATTATTTTCCTATATAAGGAATCTATTTATAAATCTCCATTCTGTTTCATTGATTTCTGTGTCTAATTTTGGACCCCTACTACTTTTCTTTTGGTTATTACAACCTTGATGATATGTTTTGATATATAATAGAGTGTATTCCCTTCCTCTATTGCCACTCACCTTTTTAAAAGTGTCCTTGGGCCAGGTTCAGTGGCTCACACTTGTAATCCCAGCACTTTGGGAGGCCTAGGTGAGAGGATTGCTTGAGGCCAGGAGTTTGAGGCTTCACTGAGCTGTGATCATACTACTGCTCTCCAGCCTCAGTGACAAAGCAAGGACCTGTTTTGATCAATCAGTCACTTCTTTTATTTATTGGCTTTTCTTGAATATAATCTTTTCAAAATATAATTTAAAATAGCTTGCCAAATTCTATTTAAAAAATTTTATTAGGGTTTGATTTAAATTGTATTTAATTTAAATGTTAATTAGGGGTGAACTGACTGCTTTGTAGTATTGGGCTTCCTATCCAGGAACATGAAAATGTTCTCCGTTTTCTTGGGTTCTCTTGTATAGTTTTCTTTATATAGTTCTTCAATATTTCTTATTAAATATAGTTCTGGGAACTTATACTTTATATTGCTATTG